GAGCAGATTGCAACTATTTTAACATAATTTATGTCAAGACTTTACAAAATAGATTGCAACGCATTGAATTATTCAAATATACATGAAGAGACATTTAAAAACTTGCCAATTTTTTTAAGAAAAAATAAAGACTTAGGATGTCGCATTTAGGGAACTAAATTGTACACTTTACAATAAAAATAAGTACATGATTTAATAAAATGTCGTCATTGAACCCAAAACCCAATGTATCCACATTCTTCGGGTAAGTACTAAAGGCATAAAAGCGTTTTAAACGGAAAGCACAACGTTGTGGCCTAATTTTGGTCATTGATACTTTTGCAGATTTTATGATCGTTTGTTGAACTGAACAAGACCTTGAGAAAATGTAAATTTAGAAACGCTCTGCATAAAGAGTACAATTTTGCCCCTAAGTTCACCATTTGTCAATGTATATACTTTTAAATTTAGTGTTAAGCACATCAACTGATTCCTGCACGATTCATCTTTCCTTCGATATGTTTAAAAAAAAATTCGCGTAAGCGGCATTTCAGTATAACCCTAACGAAAAGTGACCACTACATTTGCAATTATCTTCTCAGTTGCGTAGTTTAATGCAGGGAAATCAGACAAGATAGGTCGTCTACAAACATTAAAGCTTAACTGTCCTAAAGCATATAATTTTTTTGTGAGCTAATGCAAGAATCCTTGGTTCGTTTGATTGTTTACTGTGAATGGCTTTCCATTAAGACCGCTAATCTACGATGACAAAAGACAATAAACCAACCCATGAGAATAATAAGAATGCAACAGATGAAGGTGCATCTTGTTTTTGTGGAAATATAGCTGCATGCAATGGGTTCATTAAGTCAGATAATTGGTGCCAGTATGTAGGCTGCCAAGTTGGAATTCGAGAGCCATAAGCCTCGGAAAACATGTGCTAGAAGTGGATGATGTTACCTGCACAGGGCTTTTGGCACCCTTCATATTCTTATCTTCGTGTATCTAAAGAAAAATTAACTATCACTACTGGTCATCAAACTGTGCTAGTGCTCCTCCTGTATCTAACGATTTTCATTTTCTACGTCTGTTAAAAATTTATGCTCAAATTCAAGGTCAAGCCTTTTTGATAGTCAGTTGGTTGAGTGCATTGTGAAAGGGCTGCAGGTAACTAACATTTTCACGAATCTTAAATAATGGCCCTCACAAGAGACGTATTCATGAACGTCGTAAGGTTTGAAAACAATTTTTTATCTGCATTGGCTAGGCCTAAATTAACAATTGGCCGAAGTGCAGTTTAAAGCGTCCAAATTCGTTGATAAGACCCGAGTGACATTAATTGTAGTCAAAATTTGTTCTTCTCAAAGAATGAAACCACGCTAATTGTGGGATACTAAGACGATTGCATCTACGACATTAACTATCAGTTTACAAATGCAACTTTCAATAAATAATGACCTTACAGCTTACGAAAAGGAAACTAGTCCCTTGGATTTGGGTGCCCCACTAAAAATTGACTTAAAAGTGGTACTGAAGTGGACGGGTAATTGATAGGTTAGAAGAGGGTGATTATCATACCACAATTAAGCTATCCTTAATACACTCGACCGTGTCTTATGATAATTATAACTTCGAAACCATTTGTAATTTACCACAGTTTACTTCTTGAATTATAAAATGAAATTAAAGGGCACTACTGAACTCAAACACAGCCTCAGTAACAGTGATTCCATGTAGGCAATGCCTCTATCAATGACAATGATTTAAATCAGCCCAAGCTTTCCCAATGCTTGAAATGATTTAAAACATGTGTATTCGTAATCAATAATTATTAATGAACTACCATAATTGCGGTAAATTTTTCAGTTTTCATTGAAAAGTGCAAGTTGTAAGTTCATACCGCTTCGGGCTTTTAACCAATTTACCCTTATCTTATAAGTCCGAATGCAAACTCTTAGCAGCCTGTAAGTGGCCTATAATAAGCTGACAAATCATTCTACTCTGATTGATGTTTATATTAAATATTTAGGCAAACACGATTAAAATCCCAATTGAAGAAATTAATTGAGTGTTTCGGTTTAAGATATTTTCTATCCTTTGTGTTCATTTTACATTTTAGTTGCAGGTCCAACTAAAAACAGCCCATTGAATAAAAAATTCGGACTTAGCTGGTGGCGCAAGTATAATTGAACTATGATGACAAAATCAGAACCTGATTTTATTTCAATTAGCGGTGTGCTTGGTGACTTGCTAGTATTTACAGCAACTTCAACCAGTGCTACTCCTGCTTTAATATCATATCGTCATGTGTGCAGTGACGCCTTGATTAAACCTTATAATTCCAAGTGCCTTCGCTTTAACATGTCATACACCCCTCGAGTCTTTTGAACTATGCACACGTTAGAAATACTTTCGTTGCTTACATTTGTTAAACATTTGCAAGATTTTCCTTGAACAAGAGTCCTTATTTTGCAATTTGTTCAAACTAGTGGCGGCGTTTATCCAGTGGCATGGTTTGGATTCGACTGTTTTCATGAGTGGTCTAACTTTTACCAAAGAACTGTGGTGTGTACAAGGAATATACAATTAAATTGTGCAATAAGTAGAAGAGAATTTATTGTGCTAACAAATATCTATTTGTTCATTTAGAATTTCAGGACCTGCTGAAACTTTTAGCATTTTAATCGATTGCTCCTCGTGTTCTGTGTTCTGGTAGAAAATCCTCTGCCGTTGTTCCTGAATCTGTCTGCGGTAATCACGAGATCGCAGGCACTCGGTTCGTCGGCTGCCAAGCACTCTGTTCATTTTACACGGCCTGCCAAAGCACCTGGCTAAAAAATGTAAGAAAGAACATTGCAACTTATTATCTCCCGAAAACTCAAGCATATTCAGGCAAAAGTACTTTTGTTCGGTAAAACAAGCGACACAACTGGGTTAAGGTAATTTGTTTACTAAAATTAAAAATTTGACTTAAACGAATCACTGGACAAAATTGGCGAGAAGTGTTCCTGGATCGCAACAGAAAACTGCTGAAATCATTGTTGCAGTCTTGAATTGTAGCCTTTCTAGTATACTTTGTAGAGTACCATTTACTGCAAACTCCATAATTCTGACTATGACACGCTTGTAACACTGCATTTATTTCCCAAGTTTTAATTCTCTTTTCTTGTTGAGCAAAGTATACAGACTGCGCCATCAAACAGCCGTCAAACAGAAGTCCTAGTGGCTTTTTTGCTATGCAACGCCAACAAATTGTGATTAGTTGTTGTCCGAGAATTTCAAAAAACATTCTAACTGTATGCTAAGTTAATCTTAGCTGTTAAGGGTCGTATTAGTCCCAGTTTACTGTTCACATTCAACTAGACGTGGACTTTTTGGTTTTAACGAAAAAGTGGTCTGCAAATGGTCAAAAATTTTTTCATACATTAATTTAGTTGCGACACTGCATTTTTTTATTTTCTAAACTATAAATAACTTGAAGTAGACAGCCATTTAGGGCACAGTTGGTTAATTTTTGAAGTGGGTTTGGAAAGCAACAAATAGGTGGGAAATCAGGCGACCAATTATAGGAGATGCTGAAAATATTGATCAATAAATAGCCCTTTAGAAATCGGAAGACCTTGGAAAATATTCAAACAAAAATGTAACCATCTGTTAAAATATAAAATCACATTGTGTGCATCACGTTTATTTGACCTTACATGTGCATTCTTATTCTTTAAACACATTTACTTTTGCAGGTTGCATAAAAATGCCATACTTATTTGCTGACTTCAAAATTTCCTTTTATTGCTTTCCATTCACATGGTTCAAAATTGCGACGTTATTAGCCTATTTAACTTACCCTTCATGATTAACAAGCGGAAAGCTCGCCTGAACTTTTTTGACATTGCATTGTAAAGAATTGGATTGACGGTGGAATTGAGATACGCCATTGTTTTCACAAACAGTGTAAACCAATAATCAATGCGTTTCTCTTTTGCAAAACTGTTGTACACCACCCACGTTCGGTATGGAAACCAGAAGACGGCAAATAATACGACAACTGCCATCAACATCTTCACCACCTACATTCAAATGTATGCAGGGGAATGCATTAAAATTTTATTTGCTTATATTCTGTACGGAGCTCAGCCATAGACTAGTTTACTTATGTTTAATATTTTCAAAGGCATACACTTTTATGTATGTGGCACGGGGCGGCTGTCAGTACACTACAGGTAGATGTTGCAGCTAATAAAATGATTTGCAACGAAATGTAGATTGTTTACACTGATATTTGACTCGGTATTCCTGGGCAAATGTTTTTTTTTGTCTCATAAATAACGCAAATTTTAATTAATGCATTTGTGTTCAGAACCACAAAGGAACTTTCTTAAGGCGATGAAACATTATTTATGAAAGTTTTAGACTGCTTTTGGGGAATAAAAGACTCCTTTTCTGTAGTCATAGTTGCTTAAAAGCATGCACAAATGGAATTTAGTCACACGTTTTAGTTTTGAATTAACGTTAAATTGATTTGCTACCTGATTTCCATGGCCAGCATTTACTTTTCACTTCAACAATGGTTTTAATGAGCTATAAACGAATAAAAAACAACCCAAAATAATAAGCACTATAAATGGTTTCCTTTTACCATCTCCTTCTGCATATAATCATATGCAATGCTGCCTGAGCCTAGTAACGCCAAATCTCCAGGCTTTTAATTGCTAATTATATTACGTTTAATCTTGTTACTAAAATCAAACAACTTCAACATTTGTTTTTAATGTAAATTACGTTATACAATGTCCTAGGCTATTTTTTCCTTTAAGTTTATTCATCCAAATAGAAATTATTTACGGTTTGAATTATTCTTACTAATGTTCTCTAAATTAAACAACCTAGCAGTCCATTTCGCCATCAGTTTTCATTAAGTAGTTATCGGTGTTAGATAGAAAGCCTTGGTCATTAAACAATATAGATAACTTTAGGAGGGCAAGTAAACATGAAGTCAAAATAAAAACCAAAGCGTGTTTTCTTTATACCTGCTTCCTCGACCGGAATTCACGGTATCTCACACGTTCCAAATGTCTGCCGGCGTCTTCATCCCAGGTCTTTGTTCCATGAAGTCCTCCACGTCCAACAGTGTTTCCAATTTTACATGAATTACTAGGACTTATTCTCATCCAAACTGGTTTTTGGAAATTAAATAATCGCATTGCAATTTGCGTGTACATGACGAATATTAGCCCCAAGGGAAGTGTATAGTAAAGAACAAAGTCCAGCAGATAAACGGTGGAATATCGCACCCTCGAAAACTTATACGTACAGGTTTGGTAGGTTCCATAGACATACTCAACTGCGTACGTGTCAATTGTGAACAGCCACACACAGTTGTAGGCTGCACAGAATATCCAGACACCTGCGATGATCTTGAGGGCTCTGCTTACAGTGCAAAGAGTGTGGGCACGAATCGGATGGCAGATTGCTACCCACCGTTCTACCGAAAACGCGGCCATTGACAAAGCCGAAACGTCAACACAGAAGTATTGCATGGCCACAACCAGTCGACAAGCATGAGAGCCAAGTGTCCACTGTCCAATCATTATATAAAGTTCCCAGATAAACGGCGCAGTGGCATGAAGAAGGAAAAGCAAATCACTGAAAGAAAGGGATACAAGGTAGCAGTTTGTTGGACTTCGCATCTTGGGAGACCAAATAATTACCGTTATTACCAGCAAGTTGCCGAGCAGGCCCACCATTAGAATTATCGTTGCGGTAATCGTGCCTAAAACCCTGTATGGAAGACTGTAATAAATTGCGGGACGAAGGTATGACATATTGAAGGGGGTGGATGTGCTGTTTAGGAACGGCGATAAATTAGATATGTTGTGATCCATTTTGAACAAATAAAATTGTGAGCATCTACGTTTTATCTTAGAAGTGGCAGTGACAATTACTGAGCAACAGAACGTTGATTGGTCGAAATACTTTTTGCTGTGATTGGTTGTTTAATTGCATGAACGAGGCACTGCAAATCTGCCCTCTTTTGCACAGGCTGTCTCAATTTTGTTATACAGAATTATCTCATTCAATAAACGCAACATTTGTCAAATCGTGTTTAAAATTTCTCGAGTTATATTTGGTATTTTTAAACACTAACAAGATCTTGCCAAACTTTTTTTGTTTAACTGTGCTAGATTTCTAAGCAAATGTCCAGTTGCATCCCTTATTACTCCGCCATGAATATTCCTTATATTAAACTCTCTGTCATCAAGTGTTTGTTGTTGGTAACCGGAGTAAATGATGAATAACTCGAGATCAGATCTGCCAACCACTCGTTTTTGATAAGCCATCTCCTATTGTCTGTGGGCATTTGGAGTCAGTTCCAATGAACCCTGGATGTTAAACAATTTGCCCTTCTTTACAAGAAATAATTTTTTGCTTACTTTATGCAAAGTCGTGGGAAACACAGTCTTGGAAAATGGAATTTAACGTTACAGTGCAAATTGATTTTTTTTCTCAATTTTGTCGGAAACATTTCATTTGCTACTAATTAAGCAGACAAACATAGTTTTTCCAGATTCCCGAGTATTCACCATGAACTAAGATGGGTGACCTAAGCACCAGAAATAACCGGGAAAGCCCGTGGAGATGATCGAATTTATATGAACAAATTTGGCCAAGTACGACCTCGTATAGAGCGAGACTTGTGAACATTATTTTGGTTAAAGCTTAGTCTCTGTGCCTATATCTGTTGTCTATCCGTGTATTTTGACGTTTTTTAAGTAATAAAACTTGTAGTAGCTTGGTCTTAGCACTACCTTACAACCCTCTGATTAACAGCCCAAGACTTCTCGAGTAGAGTGGAGAAGAGGCGAGAGCGGACACGACCGGCTTATTGATGTCAAAACAACCAAGTGACTTTGTCTGCGTATGAGTACGCGTGCGTAACAGACGAATGCTGACAAAAATCAATAACAAAA